ATAAACACTCTTGAATATTAGTTCGAAACAAAGCCGTCCACAAGGTCAAGCAAGCAAAACATGGGTTTGCGGCCGTTTTTAATATTATTTAGTTTTAACCATTTTCGATTTTTTTTTTTTTGTAATTTAGTGACTAAAACGCATGCGGTATGCTTACTAGGTCATGAGTTTGAATCCTTGCAAAGGTTTTGTGGTTTAGTGGTTAAAATGCATGAGGTAAACAATTTTTTATTTTTTTAACAACAAAATTATTAAATAAATAAAAATTATGTGGCCCATTTTTTTTCATCGCTTGTAGCCTCATGAAATTCGGGGACAGCTCGAAACACACAAGTGAAATGAAATTTTATCATCTTATCTTGTACAACTTTTTGGGATTTTAGATTTATCTCTCTTTAAAGTTAATACTCAAGCATTAAATTTATCTATGTAAGTTTATTATATTTAATATATAATATAAGTTGACATATAAAATAAAATAGTCTGCTTTCTTGAGTCCCGGATCAAGATAGTTTGCGCTAAAAAAAAAAAAAAGAGATGCGGGAAAAAAAAAACAAAAAAGGATATGTAATGTGCGTTTCCAATACTCAGGCCCATTATAAAAAAAATATAGGCCTAACTGAATCCACTTTAGGGCTTTGGCCCAACACATATATAAATACAAATACATAAGTCCTATATAAAACATGAAAAACATATCGACAAATTCTCACTTCTTTGAATCTCGTTTAATTTAGATCTCGTTTTGGAATTTTCCAGTTATAACATTATGAAAAATCATAAAATTCGTGTATTCTAAAGAGAGAAAAGACATGCAACGCGTAGAAAAAAAAATTACAGAATAAATGTTTTTATTAATTTCATGTTTTTTTTTTTTTTTTTTTTGTAATAGATTAGAAAATAAAGTAATAACATCACTAAACATCATGCCATGCGTAATTGCGTATGCGCATGTATTCGTTTACTGAGTAATTACATGTGGTATACTGTTTATTGTTGAACTAGATTTTAACCCGCGGTACACCGCGGGATGATTTAATTTGAAAGTTAGTATAAAAATATTTTGTAAATTGTATCTCCATATAACATATTTATTTATATTATAGTTTACAATTGTTATTAAGTAACGGTATACCACGAGTCCACGAGACTATTATTAATAAACTGAGGATTTAACCCGTATATAAATATTAATTCAAATTCGTCCGCCATATAAATCCTTTCCGAAATATAACCCATTCCGTAATTTCTTAACCCGTCCCGTGATTTGTTTTTATTTTAAAATTTAATAATTATTTATTATATATAAAAGTTTACAAATCATATCATTCTAAAAGACATTTATATTTTAATAAACTAAAGATTTAGTATGTATTAAAGCGGCATGTTAATGATATTTTAAAATTTTATAAATATTGTTATTAAGTATCATTATACCACGGGACAATTTTTGGTTTTATACAATCTTTTCTAAATGGGACTGATTTAATATGTCTAATATTTGTGGTAATAAAAAAAAAGGATTTAATCCGTATTGAAGCGGTGGATTAATGATATTTTAATCTTTTTATTATTGTTGATTCAAAAATCCGTCCCGCCAAACCCTTCCGGCCAAAAAACTCATTTATTTTATTAATGTTCTTATTTATGATATGATTCTGAAGCATTGTCTAAATATTTTAATCGATCGAGAACGTTGAACACATATTTTCGTCAATTGGATAATGTAAGATTATTTTCTCTAAAAAAATTTTAATTTATTTATTTTAGTAGAATTTTAAATTTTGGTTACTCTAAAATTATTTAAAAAAATCCACGGATAACCCCGCAAATCAGCATACATTCGCGCGACGGATTTGTGTTTCATATATGCTATTCGCGGGTCGTGCGGACAGACTAACTACATGCCAAAATATATTTTGCCTATTGCAAAACAGGCTTAAAGGGACGAATCAACTCGTTTTGACAGCTCTAATGGAAATATTATTTAGTCATACAACACAATGGAGTTTGGACATAGGAATAATAGAATATGTATCTTATTTGTTAGATGAGAGATTGAAAAGTGAAATATAATGATTAAAAAATAATTAATATTTTTCATGATTCACAAAATTTAGTAAATATTTATCATCTTGTTGAATAATTCTAAAAATCATATTCAAGAAATCTTTATAATTTGAAAATTAAACTTCTTTGGTAAGCTATAAGTATGAAAATACCATAATTTCGATTTAATCTAATTAAATTAAAATTAGTTACATATATTTCATATCTATTTAATTTACACTACCAAAATAAAAATATATATTTAATTTATAAAATAGATGGGTTAGTTGTGATAAATTTTCTAGAAATTTCTAGAAGCAAGTAAGATATCTTTTAATTAATGATAACTGGCTAAAATAAACAAAATTAATGAGAAAAACGTTGATTGTTATGGAATTAGTTCCAAAAGTATATGAACAAATATATTATACGTAATTAATGTATAATATTGTTCGGAATATGATTTTATAATTAGTTAACATTTGATTTTAGTTCGATTTTTCATTATTAATTAGAATTTATATTCTAAATTTTTTTCAAAGATCCGATTTCAAAATTTCGGGTCAATTTTCTGATTTTGACCCAACCCATTTACATTTGTATTTCTCTTTTAATAGTATAGAGATGAATGGTTGGTTTAGCGTACAAAAACATCTTGATGAATATGGACCACAAGTATTTTTATGCAAAATGGTTACAAAGTATAATATACTCAAAACCTTCGTTTTCATTTACGATAGAATATGCTATTCTAATTTAAGGGGTTGCGTAAAGCTTCGTCCAACAAAATTTACATGTAAAACATTAATATTTTCTTCTTTTTAAAATTGAAATATTTCCACGTCCGGTCCAGCCACCTTAATTATCAAACTTTAAACGAAAATATAAATTTAACAAAGTCATTTGCATCTCTCTTTTTTTTTTTCCTGCAATTTTACAATTTGGAAAGAAAATACGATCGCAAGTTGCTTGAGAAGTCAAAAGTTTTTGAATTTAAGAAGAAGACAGTTTTTTTTTTTTTGGATAATTTAAGAAGACGAAAGATTTTGACTAAAAAAATAGAACAAGGAATTGCGTTTGACAAATCGAAAGTAACTAACAATCGCCCAATTATGTTTTAACGAAACGCTGCACTTATTATAAAACAGTCATTTTTACTTTTGAATATAATTTAATATTAGATTAAAAAAAAAAACAATCGCTCAATTATTTCTCTTAATTCGATTTTTCAGGGTTTTAAGTGATTTAGAAAAGAATAGACGGTAAAGTTCAATGTAATGGATATTCATGTAGAATAGAAAGAAAAACCGTACCCCTAACTTCGGTGTATAAACTATTTTCACACAATTTAGCTAATTAATTAGTTAGATAAAATAAAATTAAAATTTTCATTATGAAAATCTTCTTATACGAACAAAAAGCGTAGATGTGTTTAAAACTTGTACGGTGTGAATATATTGTTACTATTTTAGGAAAGAAATGATTCTAAACTAGTCAAACAAGCAGCCCATGCTGACTCACACGTACAATTTCAGGAAACCCCAAACGGTCCGTTCTCTGTTCTTATCTTCAAACTCCAATTGGTCTTTAAGATTTGGCCATCTAAATAAAATAATCTATAACCATCACTATCCTTTTCCCATTAAACATTATAACTTCGTTTATCCATATCCTTTTAAAAATATGTTCATTTTGTTGTTGTAAGCTTGATATAGCTAGGTGTTCAAGCTAAGTATATTTAGGAAATATCTAAATATACATATCTATTATGTGAGTTTTCCTTTTCTTTAGGAGATGTCTAAAGTTAAGTTTTTTGTTTTTTTGAGGTGTGTTTTCATATATAAGTATGTGTTGAGTTGTAGCACAACTTATGAGATTTGTGAGCTTAAGGTTTTGAGCATATTTTCCTTATTAATAAGAGAGGTATTCTTATTAAGTGTTGAGCTTGCAAGTCTGTGAAACAAGAACATGGTATCAGAGCCCAATGTTCAAATTCTGGTGGACCTAGAAAAGTGGATACGGACATACCTCAAACCCGAGTAATGGGGGTCCGAGAAAGGGGCTTATTATCGGTCCGAGTGAGGGATCGAGGAGGTGTGTTAAGATCCATGTGGTCCTTAGATTGAAGGGGAGATTGTTGGAGATACAATCCAAGTCCCACATCGGAAGTTTGATGGGACAATCAATAATATATAAAGGGTTAGGGCCAATCCACTAATTGTCAATTGGTTTTTAGTTGGAAGTCCACAATTAGCCCAAATTTAACACTTTTCTCTAACAAATTTGGAACGTTCTTTAAGCAGCTGTACAATATTACTATTTCAAACCTTGCGGCTTGCAAATGGCATTGCACATAAATGAATATATACACAACTATCTCGTGTGAAATTTCTTTATGGCATGTGTTTATATAAATAGTATTATTTTTGAATTACACAAAAGTATACTAGCTAGTGTTATAGGCTAGACATCATCACAGATAAACATACATTTTTGGTCATGTTCGCTATGATACGGTTAGCGTCAGCAAACGATGATGACAAAGTCTATTGTTTGTGTTAGCTGGCACTAATATTAAAACGATAGCGAACTAAATCATATTCGTCATGTGGTTCCTAGTTTATCGATATAATATTTTGGCGATTAATTAACGACTGTAACTTAAAATTAATATAATATTATATATTATGAATTGATGATTTGTTGTCGATATTTAATGTCTAAGTTAGATTATATAATATATAATATTATTATGAATTGATGATTTGTTGTCGATATATATGATATTTAAATCAGTCTAACCAACAACAATAAAACAATACGATTTTATCAAATATTAATATGTTATATGATGTTGGCGTCGAAGTGTGTCATGAATGATAATAAAACTAGCACATTTCTATCGTTTATCGTTTATCGTTTGCAAGTACAAAACTTATAGATCAAATATATATCAATGCAGTCTGTTTCTTTTTTATAACTAATTAATTAATACAAAATATCCAGCTAAAAGTTTACAAAAATGTAAATGTCAGGACAAATGACGACGAATATACTACAATTAATACAAGTCGTATAACCTAAATCTAACCCTAGAGTTCGAATTCTACACTATATTAACTAATTAATCTGACTCGGACAAAAATAAAATTATGTTTTTCTTATTACATCACCATTACACAATCAAATAAACCCGAAACCACTAGATTGTTGACCTGAATACCCAAATCCGTTAACCGGATCAACACTAAAACCCTGATGAGCCAACACGTCCGAGTTATAATTAAACCGAGGAATCCCCTCTGCCTGCTGCTGCGTTCCACCGTCACCGTAACGGAGACTCGGAACGTTTTGACTCAGTCCGAGTTCCGGGACCGAGTTCTGTCCAACCAAATTCGCCCAATCAAAACTTGGCTCCCTAGCTAAACCGTGAAACCCGGTTTTCTGATTGGTTAAAACCGGTCTATGACAACGAGGCAGCGAGTTTGATGAACCGGCGGCGAATCCCAAACTTCTGTTGTCTATTTCATGCAAAGACTCGAGCACGTCGTCGTATTGATGAGAGGAAGAAGATGTCGACGAACCATTGTTGCTGTATTCACGACCACTCGTCATTAGATTATTGTAAGCCTGTTTTTGTGCGCTTGATTGCTTTTTGTATATTCGACATAAAACCCAATCATCAAGCTGACCAAAAAAAAAAAAAAAAAAAACAATTTAAGAAATGTTAGTCATTGGAATAAACAGAGCAGTATAATTACAATTACTTTATACTTTTTGGATATATGTTACAAAATTTATACCTTGGTGCTTCCATTTCTACGAGAGGGTTCGATGAGACGGTACTCATGCATAATCCAATTGGTTTTGGTTCCTTTCGGTGCTTTTCCAATGTAAAACACTAAAGCTTTCTTGATACCAACTCTTCTTCCCTCCGTCGAGATAACTTTATCAGTACCGGTGGCTTTCCAATAACCCGATCCGGCAACCCGATTAGGTCTCGACCCGTTCGGATACTTCCTATCCCTTGGGCTGAAAAAATACCATTCTTTTTCACCGAATAACGCTTTACCTACAAAAACAAAACAAGACAAGTTAGACAAAAACATAGCTACAAAGAAACCAAACACGGTTAATTAAGGTTATACGTACTTGGTAAAACCCATGGATCAAACTTGTAGAGATCAATTTCAGCTATGAGCTGGAGAGAGAAGTCATGACCGGCGGCTTTTCTACAGAGATATTCAACCATCAGCTCTTCGTCCGTCGGGTAAAATCGAAAACCCGGTGGTAAGCTCAATTGGGCTAAGGGGTCAAGCTCTTGGAGACCCATTTTTCCTATCACCTCTTTCTCTAGGACAAAGAAAATATCTGCACTTTTTATAGAAAACAATCACAACACTATCTTCTTTAAAATTCTTTTATTTTTTGTATTTTGAGATTAAAGATTTTGAAGCTCTGCTACTTGTGTATGTATATATATATAATATAATATTACACCGCCGCCCAATCTTCGTTAACGTGCAGCCTCAACACGGGTCCCACTTTATGTTTATCATGACACGTGGATCAATTAGAGCGTCGTGATTTATGCGATCCTTTTTGGTTCGTTGAACCTATGCTATAAAGTTGATTACAGTATTTTATTAATTAATTCTTTGTAATGTATTGTGTGTGTGACTGTACCGCCTCCTATGATTTTTCTTTGTAACATTGTCAAAGGTTTTCCCAAGTATTAGGGAGTTAAGTCAAAGTTATATACAAAATTTGTACGTTCAAAAAATAGATTAGGTGATTCTTAAGACTCGTGATTTTTCTTGGAGAAACATCCACGGTTAGAGATTGTAAACACAGAGTTCGAAGTCTAAAGCCGGCAGAAAACAATTCTCCGATTTATGAAAAATAAGTACTCTTAAAGTTTTTTTTTTTTATAATGGGTATGTGCCAAATTTTTCTTTTTATTTGTTGTCGTGAACAAACAGATCAAACAAACTAGGAAATCAATAGAGATTGGGAACCTAGCAGAAAATTCCAACATAAAACAAAAGAACTAAAAAGGGAAAATATGAATATCTCACTTAACCCCCGTCCCAGGAACCTTTACACTTAACGCGCGACCTGACGGAGCCATGAGTGCAATCCAATTCACCCGAAACTTCTGCAAGATCCTCAACTATTGAAGTCCAAAAGCTTGAATGATAAGTAACCACTTCGACGATCTGCTTCTCTTTCCCAAAACCAGTAGCCGAACAACCTCACTGTTGTAGCCGAGATTGCCGGAAGCAAAGCCGAACAACCTCGCTGTTGAAGCCGTGATCGCCGGAAACAAAGCCGAACGAACCTCGCTGAAGAAGCCAAGGTCGCCGGAAGCAAAGCCAACCAAAGGTGCATAAGAAGCCACCTAGGTCAGGGACAAAGGCAACCAACGCCATTAAGAGATAAACTGACAATGAAGAAACAAGACCAATGGAGCAAAATACCGACAATTAAGGACAGATCTGAGAAGCAGACACAGGTCCTCGGTGGACAAGACCTTTGTGATGATTCTTGCCAGCTCCCAGCCACCCCAATGAAGGACAAGACGAATCAGCCGACACATGACGCAAGAAGTCACCACCACCCGCTCGAAACCACCGCCATCCAAAACAACTAACAACCACTGTCTCTAATCAAACCGCAACTCCTCGAGAAGGATCCAAAGTTGAAGGATCAGGCACTCCACGCATCTTCTTCTTCAAAATCAGCTCTACTAGAAAATTGAAAGCAAAACAACAAACAAGAAATTAAACTACTAATCGGCCCCCTCACGGCTCCAGCGAGAAGCGTCGAAGGCCGGAGAGGCCAGATCGAAGTCGGCGAAGGAAAGTTCTTCTCGGCGGCTAGGGTTGGCTCGAGAGAGAAAAGTCTTGAAATGTCGTTGAGATTAGGTGATTCTTAAGACTCGTGATTTTTCCTACAATTTTTACGCGGTAAATTTCTTTGAATGAGTTACACTTATATATAACAGTGACAATATACGAAAAGTATTAAATAGATTTATGAAAAATAAGTACTCTTAAAGTTTTTTTTTTTTATAATGGGTATGTGCCAAATTTTTCTTTTTATTTGTTGTCGTGAAGAAAAAAAAACACGTGTAAGTGAATGATGGGGTGAGTTCACTGGATGGGTAACATGGAAAGCGTTTATCATACGGATAGAACTACGTCGAGACGACACATGTCCCGTGTTTATTGGTAGAGTTAGGCGGGATATTTTTCTTTTGTCAAAAGCCGTTAAAGATCAGAGAGCTGATGATGATGCAGACTCTCATTATTTTTTTTCTATTTGATCCATATGAGATTGTAATTTTTGATTGACATCAGATAAAACTGTAATTGTAAAACGATCAGATGTACCCAAAAATTAGGCTTTGTGGTTGAGAAGTGGAAACACAGCATTTGGTAATTAAATCCGTATAACACAAACATAACTTCTCTTCCAATTTTTCTTTTTGTTTTGTATGTGAAAAGAGCATTTTACCAATTAAAAATAAAGGTCAGGTACAATTTCTTTGCAAGTGAAATGATATTTAACCAATTTATAGTGGTTTATTGATTGAAATAGTATTTATTTAGAGAACGTGATATTTGACAAAAAAAAAAAAAAAGTAGAGAACGTGATGTCAATCATGATAACTATTGTGAACGGAGTAAATAGCACTAATAACCAGTTTTACACACACACACATATATATAGTTTGAGCTTCGATTCATGGTTCTCGATTGTTAAAAAAAAAGAAGAAGTTAAACAGGATTCTTAGTTAATTAGAAGTACATAGATAGCTTGTCAGCAAAATTATTGTATATATATATATATATATATAGAGAAATTGTTAAAAATGCCCCTTTTTCAATACCCCTTTTCAAAAATGCCCCCTTTGAGAGTCCATTTTTAAGTTTGCCCTCTTTTAATTTTTAATGACCATTTTACCCTTATTTGAAACAAAATTATGTCCACCAAAAACAAAATATTTTTTGGCGGGAAAAGTGATCCCGCAATTTTCCCGCCAAAACACTTGTAAAAACCTTTAAAAAACCTTGTAAAATTTTTCCGTAAAAATTTTTCCCGCCAAAAAATTTTCCCGCCAAAAAAATTTTTTTGCGGGAAAAGTGATTCCGCAATTTTTTTTGCGAAATTTTTTTGGCGGGAAAATTTTTGGCGGGAAAAATTTACAAGGTATTTTAAAGGTTTTTTACAAGGTATTTACAAGTGTTTTGTAAGGTTTTACAATGTATTTTAAAAGGTTTTACAAGGTACTTTTAAGGTTTTATAAGGTATTTATAACTTGTAAAACCTTATAAAAAACTTGTAAAACCTTATAACTTGTAAAAACCTTAGTAAAATAGCTGTTGTAAAATTCTTATAATATCTTATAAATACCTGTAAATACGTTGTAAAACCTTTAAAATACATGTAAAACC